GGGGCGAGATTTTGAAAATTTGGCTGATTGGGGCGAGTTGGCAAAAACTTGCATCCGGAACTCGCCCTAAAATCGCGGCTAGTTAGCCTCGGGGCGAGTTGTACCTGGGGCAAGTTAGCTGGGGCCAGATGTGCGGCACCCTGTTAATCCCCTAAACATTAGTATGTGAATTAATAGTTTTGAAATAGTATGTTCACCCTCTTTACATTAGAATGTTCCGTAGAATTTTCAATTAAACTATCGTATTAGCATGTTAACAAACTAACAGCTAGAATGCCATTTTCTGGGTGATTGACGAGTTGGACGCGAGTTTTCGCGAGAAGGGTTCCTGCAAGTGTACAACAAGTCGACTTGTGATGGCCCCTCGACGGCTTCTGAAATTTGCGAAAATGCGCTTAACACATTTGGAAAAATGCGACCCTTGAGCACCTAACTCGTGCCAACTCGTTGTGCAACTGTCTTGGGTGTGTGGGACTCCCCGAGTTAGGCTTTGCTGTCACTCAGCAAATACCGTTCTGCTCCTTGCTTTCAGCCTTTCACATTTGCGATGTCGACCAGTAGAAATGACGACGCATCAAACTCCCCGACCAGGCAAGTTGAAGCAGACACCGAGTACCCAAGACAGGCGACCAATACGATGTAAGTATATTATTGGCTGAGCGATTAGCGAAGCCCATAACTCCACTGACCGGAAAAGTTTCATTCTGTTTGTTTGTTTGTTTGTCTGTATGTCTGTCCGCACGATAACTCGAGAAAGAATTGAGATAGTGACCTGGGATTTTCAGAATCATTGTGTATCATAAAAAGACAGATCGAGTTCGAAGATGAGCATTCTAGCTCAAAAATTGGCTGTTTAAAAAATCAAAAACTTCAGGTCGCAAAATGTATTACTATCAAATATCTTTTTATGGGTTTCTAAGAGGTAACTCGTTAAAGTAGAGTTCTCTGGGGGAAAATTTCGTCCGTTTGGCTCTTTCTTGTACCGTTTAGGTGCTAGGGGGCATTTCTTGACAAAAATGAGGTGAAAATGATCAAATAGTCGATTAAATCGTTAAAAAGACTTCATTTCGAAAAACCCCCTATACATTCCTATTACCTCGGCTCGGGTGTCAGCGCCGCAGGCCTAGCTATATGTGCGACAGGCGCGTCGCAGCGTAACAGTGTTTCGTGAGATATCGCGAAGCCTGTTACGCGAGACGTGGTCTGGCGTACATATAGCTAGTATATAAACTACAATAGTTTGAGCCCATCTGTCGCTTACTTCCTTTCGCATGATTCTGTAAAGGTATGCCAAACCACGGAGGTCTTCTCATTAAAACTCTGGTTTTGGGAAAAACCATTGAGATTGGCTAATTTTTCGTAATTGTCGACATATTTAAGCAATTTTTGATGGACGATCGTCCGTTCGAAATATTTATGTTAAAACACCCTTTTTTGAATTTTAAACTGAATGTTTTCATAGGACTTAAGACCTTTAATCAGGATAACTGGCCTCAAAAGGCTCAAACCAACGAACGGTCGGACTCGATGTTCTCGGGGATCGGTAAAACTTGATATTTAGTGTGTTAAGCATTACCAGATACTAAAGGGTTTTGGGATATCTCAAACAGGGTAAAATCTTGAGATATTCTTTCAGAGAGTAGCACCATGGAAAAACTTAGTTTCACCTTGGTTCAAAAATGTTTTGGTGGTGTGGGGAGAAGCAATTGTATACATCTGGACCACTGCATTATAGTCCCCAAAATACGTTGTCATGAATTTTTAATTTAACTTTTATAAATAAACCCGCTTTTAAGGTCGATCAAAATTGTTTATTGATTTTGTCCGGCACACGATGTAGTGAGCCCCCCGGCGCGAAAAGTGGCACTAGATCTCGTAGCACTAAGTCAGTGCATGCGGCTGCCACTGCAGCGCTGCGATCGGTCATTGGCCGCCGCCTTCCCTTCCCCCGCCCCCTGCTGTCCCCTGTGTCTGTGTCCAGCCGGGCGACGCCTGGTTAGCCAGGTACCCTTCGACGGTGGCGCAGGATCAACCCATGTTTTCGGGGCTGGGCACGATGGCGAGGACACGCAGTTGGAGACGGGGCGAAGCGCTGAAGTGGTGGCCGCACGCACTGACCTAATGCTACGGGATCTGGTGCCACCTTGCAAGTGTTGCGGCATAGGCAGTGCCGCCACCGCGGGACTCACTACGTCGTGGTCCGTCAATTGAGAATTTCTCTGCTTCTAAAATACATTTGATTATAGAAATTGCCAAATTGCACAATTTTCCCACAAAATGTCTTCATAATGATATCAGAACATTGCCGAAGACAAAATAAAGTCAATGATAACTGTTTCCTATCAAGTAAATCTTTGAGACAGCAACATTAATATATTGGCTGTATTCTTGGCTCCAGGAGGACTCTCATTCTCTTTTGTTACCAACCACAACGTATTTTGGGGAACCATAAAAAGAGAGACAAATTTTGGTTTGGTTGTTTAATGTGTCCTCCTTCGTTCCTGGCACAATGGCACAAACAAGAACGCCCCTAGGATGACCCCGGAAGTAAAATCTGACACCGGAAATGAAATCAGCATGCTCGAAAACCCTCAGGTACCAAATCTTAACTCATTGGGTCGACACATATGGGCGCTGCGGGCTCGAACAGGGCGAAACCGCCCAGACCGGCTGGCAGCCAGGACGGCCGCCGGCTCCGCCTACCTCGAATGCGCTCAGTGATCGGCTCTCAATTTTGATCGCAGAAAGTCGGGCAAAAGACAGTTCTATAGGGAAAACAGTCAGGAATCTCATGAACTCAACGTCGTGTGCGAGAAATGAATGCAGCCAGAGCCTATTGGTTTCCCAGGTCCAAAAGCGGGGTCCAGGGGCTGTAAAGCTTCTTCTCCATGGCGCCCTTCTCTCATGCTTTGGGGCAAACTCAAAGACTACGGGCTTAAGCATGGTTTAAGCGGGCCGAAGGCCTGCTACATCATTCGGTCATGTTCTTCAGCAAATAGCGTGACAGAAATGATCGGCCCGCAGGCCCGACCATCGCCGCCGGCAGGCCAAGCAGGCCCAGCCCCTGCTGAACGGAGTTGCCGGCGGAGCGAAGCGGAGCTGGCAACTTCGTTTGGCGGAAGGGCGGATCATTAATGATCGGCAATCATGAATGATCACGTTTAGGTTTTTGGATAATATTTCTTTTCAGAAGGATATTATCGGAAAGTAGGTAGCATTTCCAGATTCCTCGCGAAAAAAGCTTTCAAACGAGGTACTGTGTGATTGGGTTCACTACCGAAATGGTTCGCCTCTCGAGAATGTCGGTACTGTAAGCCAAGTTATGGTAGCGGTCAATTTGAACCCCATCACATGCACATGGTAGCTCGTTTGAAAGCTTTTTTCACGAGGTTCACCTTTTTCAGCATACAATGTACACTGTTGAGTTTTCAGAGTAGGTGGTCCCAAAAAAGAGGCTCGTCTCCGCCGGGGGAAGGGGGGGATAGGTGGTCCCAAAAA